TTGAGCCAAGGCAGTTAAAGCAGTCACAAATTGGATTATTTCTACAGTGTGTTTGGGGCTATTGTCCCTTTTCTGTTTTCAGATTTTTGAGCTAGCGATTCCTTGAAAGAACTTGGATTTAAAATCAAGGAATCTAAAATTAGCAAATGGAGATTCAAACAAAAAATAGGGAATTTTATAATGTCCTATTAAAAATGGAAATGGAATAATAATAATAAAGGAAGGGATGGTAAAGTGGGCAAAAAATATAGGATATTAATTGGATTTAAGCAGATGGGAAAATTCATGAGGAAAAGTATAAAAATATACAATGTCACAGAACCTAAGAGAAAATTACTATAAAATATATCTCCGATAGTACCTATCACCAACAAAGATTTCAAAAATATATAAAAATAAAAATAACTTGGGCTGGAAATGTAAAAAAATAAATCAGACCATTCTATCATTGTTGGTGATCATGTAAAAAAAGTGAAGAAGTATTGGATAATGGTGAACAATAGATAACATGTTAAACATTAATATGCAGATGAAACCAGAATTTTATTTATTGAATATGGCGAAAAAAGAATAGGAAAATAAGCACGGAAAAATACTTTTTTACATGACCACCATGGCATGGATAGCCCTAGTGCAAAATGGAAATCTGAATTTATCCTGGAGAAAAAAGAATGGCTACTAAAACTTTATGATACAATAGAAAGGGACAAACTAACACAAATAATGACAGGGAAATAATCAGACAAAGTAAAAGAAGAATGGTCTCTGGTTTATAATTATCTGGAAGAAATATAGAAAGAATTAAAAATGACAACTGTATAGATTGGGAATAAGACATTTTTGGTTTATTGAAAAATTTGCAACAAAGAGAAAACTGATTAAGTTGGTTAAAGAAGTCGAAACTGTGAAAACAAGATGAAACTTAAAACATGTTAATGTTAGATGGAAATAGACTTTGCTGTATGATAAACCCCAAACAATGGAAAACCAATGTCCAAAGATATGTAATTCGACTTGCAGTCTGGGAAACATAACTGGGTTTAAAATTCAGAAGCAATGATATACAATCTGAGAAGACAAACTAAATTTAAAATTTAGAAACTGACAATGTTAAATGAATATGTGTTTCATTATAGGATAAGTGAGAACAATTTGGATCTCTCTACAGACAGGTAGTATGTGTTAAAGATGAACGAGAGATAATGAAAACAACAAAATACAAAACTGAATAGAACAAGTAATTACAAAAGCAATCTTTAACAAAGATTAGAACAAAAAAAATCAGCAATTTATGTAAATGTGGTATCAATAAATATAACAATAAAAAGTCTAGAAATTAAGGAAATAGATAAATTGGTAAATGATGGAAAGGAAGCAGGTATGAGAGGAAAGATGGTGAAAGAAAGTGAAAGACGGTCAGAGTAAGCGGAATGATGGTAAGAGAGGGAGGGAGTAATGGAGTTAGATAAGACAGCTAAGATAAGAAGGAAAGAGGAAAGAAGTAAAGGGAAGAAGATTAAGGATAAGAAAGATTGGAAAGACAGAAGGAATAGAAAGGAATAGAGAGGAAGGTATAAAGTGAAAGGATAAAAGATAAAAGATAAAAGAGAGTAGCTGGAAGACCATCAATACCAAGTGAATTAGAATGATAACAAAACAGAGAAGAATATTAAAAAAATATGTAAGCATGTTTCTAAGGTTTATGTTTGTAAAGTTGTATGTAATGTTTTTTTTAAAGGAATATATGTTTGTGTTCTAATATGTTCAATAAAAATTATTTTAAAAAGTGGATTAGTTTACTCCTATTCTGTAATGCTGAGAAAACTGTTATTAAAAGGAATGCACAAATAGGTTCTCTACTGCAGCCTACTTTGCCATCTAGAATTGCTGAGTATTGTGTGTTTTTATATTGTGTTGTCAGCACAACTGAATTACATTTTCATTGCAGTTAAGTTATAGTTGATTTGAAAATAACTGAAGAATGTTCAGTCTCAATTGGTATGCAGTAATAACACATTTTCAGGCTCCTCCTTGATATAGTTGGATTTTTATATTAACCATTGTAAACACAACACAAGACATAATGCAAAAATTCTTCAAATCTGTGAGATCTCCAACTCTTAGGTTTGCTATCACAAGCCCAGACTAAGTATCAGATATTAGAAGTAAGCAACAGAGTCCTCAGTAATTTTTTGTCTGTGTGTCCATACTCAAGGTTGCAACTTTCAATGTGGAAAAAGTATGTTCCTGATTCTGTCCCAAGCTTTATTAATTTCAGTTAGCCAATGTGTAATAGGGTGAGTTGCATCCACACTGCACAATTATAACATTTTGATTCCACTTTTAATGGCCATGGCTCCATCCTGCAGAATCCTGGGATTTGTAGTTTGATGAGGGACTGAGAATTCTGTAGTGCATGCCTCTGAACTACAGCATTAGAATTCTCTAGCAGAGAATTGATGGGTGGCAAAGATATTGATGGATGGGAAGAAAGATGTCTAACAGAAAATTCTCAGAACCTCATCAAATTACAAACGCCAAAATAGCTGCAGGATGGAACCATGCCAGTTAAAGTGGTATGAAGCTGATATAATTGTGTAGTGTGAATACACTGAAGGAAAGGGAGAGGAAATTGGAATTAAACAATTGCAAGTCAAAACAATTCTCCAGTAGACTCCCATCAACCTGCAGATCCCAATTTAATGTTTGTCCACAATTAACATATAGTAACAGCAAATTCTTTTGGTAGCCATAGGTTCAGCAGGAAACATTAACATTACGTTCCCTTGCCTTGATGCTGAAGTGATTAATTCCTAAACTCTGTGCTAGAAAAGACTAGTTATGTCATAAAAGTATTATCCAGGGGTGGCAAGAAAGATATTTAAGTATTTGCATAGACTGGCTGAGGACAAATAAATTGAGTTGACATAAGACTGTGGTGCAGTTTGTCAGGGGCTCATTGATCTAAGGAAGTGATATATGTTTCCTGTTTTAAATCAAGGACTCCACTGGCTACTAGTCCAGGTTAAAGCCAAAGGGCTGATTTTGGCCTTGAGAGCCATGCTAAAACCACTTCCTTCCCCACAGGCCTTCCCAGATTCATTCCTGATGATAATAATTGGATAGGTTTTTGATGAATATATTACCATTTTACACTGTATTTTATTGTATTGCATGCCAGTTTGGTAATTTCTGTGTTAGGCAGTATAATATGCATATATCAAATTTTTTTTTTTAAAAAAGGTCTCCCCCCCGATGGTGTTCAAATTATGGAACTCCTTTCATAAACCTATTTTCTAGCATCTTCTGTTTTATGTTTTAAGTCTATTCTCTGCTACTCCATAAGTCAAGACTAGATTTCATGGATTTAAGTTACATTAGGGTAGAGTTTGATTGAACATCTACATGCAGAATTATGTGCAGAATGGAGAACAGGGATAGGTAAGAGTTTAATTTATTTGGTTTTGATAAGAACTTTCTAAAATTCACTATTTTTGTTACCATTTTAATTGAGAGTTTGGAAGCAACTGGCTATAACTTGCAAGTAATTAATTCTTCTCCCAATATTAGAAGTATATTTTCACCACATTGTGAATGCAACTGAACAAGGGATTATGTCTTTCTCTGGGTGGTATAACTGTTTAATTATTTGTATACTTATGCAGGCATGGACTCACTAAATAGTGGAGGAGGAATATCAAATGGTTCAAGTATTGTTTTGTGGCTTGTGCTGTTGACTCATGTGATTTTGTGTGTCATTATTTTTAATGTTGTCTTAGGTTACATAAATTTCTTTTGTGAAACAAGCCAGCAGCCTATAGTGCTTAATTTTTTTAAAGTAAGAAAAGTGTCCTCTTTAGTTACTTTAAAAAAAAAAGCTAAATACTATAATATATTGTCATCTGTTGCAGAAGGAAAATGGCTATTTTAATAACTTGTGAGAAACAGGAAATAAAAATTTTAAAATTATACTTATATTAATTTACTGCCTTTTCAAGCTTTGATATTTTAATGATAATATTATATCATTACTAGGTTTTTAAAAAAGAAAATTAAAAATAATTACTTTTAAAAGCAACTTTCCAACCTCTATTTTAATGTTGGTTTATACTAGAGCCCCAATCTAGATTTATACTGGGGCTTCCCTCTGCATATCCATACCCAAGTCCTCCCATACTTTTCCGTTCATAGAAGAAAATGATGGAATCTGATATTTTTGCAATTTACTGCTAGGAAAACATTCAAGTTTCATGAAACCATGCTACATATAAATATGTATCTTTTACAATGTGAAACAGTATGTTATTGAGAGGATTAAGATTTTGGTTTTGGCTCCTACATTTTTGTTAAAGTTAAAACTTTTTTGTTATTGTTAAAAAAGCAATCACTTGTATCTGTGTTGTGCCCTTGAATCATAAGGCCCACTGCTCAGGCAGAGTGTGGGTATCCTGCATTAGTCATGCCTTCTGCTCACTTTCCAGCACTTTGATGCATCTCTATTTGTGGAGGATGTAGGGGAGGTTTTCTCAACTCATTCAGGTAAGACCAGTTCCATATGGGCCTGTGTTTGGGGAAGGTGAAATAAAATAGTTCCCATCATTATCCCTAAAAGTTAATTAGCTGTGTCACTGGGAAAGGGACAACCTCATGAGCCTTAGATATTTATAAACAGAGCTGTCATTGGCAAGGCTAGCCAGGTCACCTACAGGAGACAAGTGGATGGGATTAGGTTTCTCGCAGTTTGTCATGTAGCAATGGCAAATTGCCTTTCCTTCTCATCATTTCAATGGGGCTGGTAACTATCAAATGAAGGGTGACTCCCATAATATGGCAGTTCTCAATTCTAAACAGTATACCCTAGCAAATGGGCTCTAACAGTGTCCCATTGAAAGGCCCAGGTTCTTCAGCTGTATTCCATGTAGTCTGACCCTTAATTCAGTATGTTTTTTGCTGTTAATTTCAGGAAGACAAAATTCAGGATATGTAATCTTTTTATGAGAGCCAGCATGGTGCAATGGTTTGAGCGTTGGACTATGACTCCGGAGAGTGAGGTTCAAATACCTTCTTGGCCATGAAAACCCACTAACTGACCTTGGTCAAGTCACATTCATTCAACTTCAAAGGATGCCAGTGGCAACTACTCTCTGAAGAAATTTGCCAAGAAAACCCTGTATTAGGTTCGCTTTGGGGTCACCATAAGCTGGAAACAACTTGGAGGCAAATAACACCGTACCACACCAATCCTTTTATAGAGCTATGCAGACAGTCTATACATATAGATGCTGAATGCTTGAGGGGGATAGTGGGTTTCGTGGCTGCTAACTACGCCTGCAGGACACTGATGTACATAACAGCCACACAATCTGGCAGTTATGAATTCACCACCATGGTGAAAGAAACTCCCCACATACAGATATATGCATGCAGAATTTCCTCCAAGTATGGGAACCATAGGCAAGAAGCCTCCCAGTTTACGCTGAAGGAATCCTATGGTGTGCCATACCAGCAAGAATAAAGTTTGGATGACAGGCAAAGATAAGTTTCTAAACAAAAAAAGCACAAAATACGATGTGGCATATGTTAATTCTGCAGTTGCTTTGATTTTGCTTGTGACTTAAAAATATTAAGGTACTCTGAATAATTTATGCCCAACATGTCTTTTGGGAGTTAGAAGAGTCAATCATAGCACTTTTTATACTGTTTTTCTCTCTTTTAGGCTTGTAAAACTTTGTTTTCATTCAGTCCCCAGTCTTCGAAAAGTAATATTTTGTTGAATTCATATTACCAGCCCACATACTGAATCTGTTGGCAGATACCCATTCCTCAGCCCCTGATCTCTATAGGTAAATACAGCATCAATTGGTCTCTCAAATATACTGTACCAGTGGCCAAGTTGAGAATGCTGCAGCACTTTATACACTTCTGGAGGTGCAGACTTCCAGGGATATTGTATTATGTATGTTAAGATCTTTTTCATTAACAGAGTCATTTGGTAGCTGAAAATTAGCAGCACAGTTCAGTACATATCTGTGTAAAAGTAAGATGCATTGAATTCAGTCATATTTACTCTCAGGTGTTCACAAGATTGTAGTCTTTGTGCATTAATCCAATTTGTATTCAGTTTGTAATTACTCATCTTTATACACAGTGCTAACAATTTAGCAATAAAAAATAAATAAATGGTGATTTAGAGAACCAGGACCTCATATTATCAGTACTCTCCTCAGTGCCTCCATAACTTGCAGTTATTTACTTTGCTGTTATTCTCTGCCTTTCTTTAATAAATCATACTTAAGCCAGTTTACAAATAAGCAGAAAACAATTTAAATTAAAAATACTAGCACTACATTAGGGGAAAAACAGCAGTAATTAGGCAGCCTCATAAAAATTTGCAACCAGCAAACAAAAACAGATTCTGAATAAAAACACATGCCAGGAAAAATGATTTTGAGCATCTGCTTAAAAGTGGTCAAAGCATAAGGAGGGCAAACTAGGAATATGAACATCTGTTGGTTTCATTTTCATTAGTTTTCTCAGAATAATCCTTGTCTCATCTTAATTCTGTGACTGGGCTGTGAGAATTTATTTCTTCTCCTTGCATGGACATATGTGGATATCTTTCTATTTCCTAAATGCACAAAGTTCTGTCTGCATTTCCCCCATAGACTACAATATACTTTGTTTTCCGTCAATCTTGAAAAGAATAAAATTGGTATTTTCTTTGGGAATTGTTAACCCAGTGAGATTCCCCCCCCCTTCATGTAATGGATGAGTTCATTACATAGATTAGGTGTCATAGCTGAAGAAGACCTCTTTCCTGTCCCCAACCAACTCTGTTTCTATCAGTGATGGATCCAGGAGGAGGCCCTCAGGAGCCAAATGCAGAACTCAAGCAGTTTCATCATATTGAAGTTCCTGAAGTACCCTTGTTTCAAGCCACTTGGGACTTTCATGACAGTTTAATGATAATTTAGATAATGAGGATGACTCATGCTTTGATGGGCATAAAGTGATGTGCTTAAAGTGATACTATATTTCAGGGGTAGGCAACCTTTCCTCTTTAAGGGCTGAGGGACTTCAGCTCCCAGAAGCCTCAGCTGTGTTGGCCAATAGTCCCATGTTGTCCAATAGCTCCTGGGATTCTGGGAGCTGAAGTCCCTCGGCCCTTAAAGGGGACAGGTTGCCTACCCCTGCTATATATTCTTCAATAAATATGCTCCTGTTTTAAGAATGAAAACTGGTCATGTGACTTTTGGGGATTAACAGTAATTGGAATTTTGAGAAAAGATTCCTAATTTTTCTGCGGTGAATTCTTTGTGTTGTCCAAAGCTACTCAGTATGAAGGGATCAATAGAATCACAATGTTTTATGTAACATGAATTTAATGCCCTATCCCCCACTTCTGTTATCATGAAATCTGTCTCAGCATTTCAGCATGAGAAACTTGTTTAGGAGTGAGGGCACAGTGAGACAGCTGATCATTAAACAAAATGCATCATTTTATTTACATAAAATTACATGATTAACCTATCACTCTTTCCCTGGGCTGTTGTTGAAGTATTTGTCAGAAGGCTTTGCTTTGGGGGAGTGCACCAGTTAACTGAGACTTTAATTTACATTTATACAGCAAGTAAAATATTTGCTAACAATTGTGCTCACTGTTCAAATTTATTTTGCACTAATCCCACATAATTCATTTCTCACAAATATGTTATAATTACCATAATCAAATGGCTTTTAGCTTAATAAACAGTATGTGGAGCTGCAAGGAAGAAAGTAATAGTAATAGGTATAGCCAGAGGGGAGAAGTTACTTTAGTGGACTAAAAATCCCCAAGGCAGCATGGCCATAGACTTTAGTCCCCAAAAGTAAGTTTTAGATTTTTGGGATAGAATTGAGGATCACCACCTTTACACCATTCAGCAGTGAAACTCCTTGGGTAACCTTGGGCCAGTCATCAGCCTAATTTAGTTAAGAGGATTATTGTGAGGATAAAATGGAGACAGGAACAGTTGCAATTGGTGGCTTCCATGCCAGTGGGGTGGAAAGTCCAGATAGTAATCTAAACCTTATAGGAGATATCCAAGGTGTGGAACCTTAGCCTCCACATAGTTTCAGCACCATGGAGAGCAGCTTCTTTAAAATTTCTAGTAGACCCTGCATTGGATTAATTACTTTGCTGATCTTGACACCATCAGAAAACCATGTTCAGCAATATAGAGAACATACGGAATAAAAATTAAATAAATAAAAGGAGAAAAAGAGAATTTCTCAATGTCTGATAGGCAAGGTTCAAATGCTCCCTCTGCCTTACTCTCTGAAACAAGCAGTGATACCAAACCAACTGGAAGAGAAGCTGGGCAAAAAGAGATACCTGATGCTTTCTACCTTGAATTACTCCTCATTGGCAACTTCTTTTCAGTGGATGTGCTGGCTCAGGATGCTTTTGTGTTACAGTAGTTTAGGGTTGGCTAAAATGATTTTGACATTAGAAATCAAAGCTTGGAAAGTTTGTGTTAGGAAGAATGGATCTAATGACTTATTGAACCCATCCATAATGGAGCAGTGGCAGGATGATACTTTGGGAAAGGTAGCATTCCAAATGTTAAGCGGAATGGCAGTTTCACAGGTACTAAAGTGCAATGTTACATGGTGGGAAAACCATGCTTTCATGAAGATGCCTTCATGAAGCACAAAGTTGTCTTGGGGTATCATTAAATCACTCAGAACCAACACTGTTTGTGTAGTAGCTTCTCTGCGCCAGCTTTAAAGGTTTCTTTCTTTTTGACTAGTGAATACTTATAGATTTCAGAGTTCACACTCAGCCTTTATGTGCTTAACTTTGAACCATTGCTTTTTTCTACTCAAGATGGATGTTCAGCTATCAAATGTCTAACTAGTAAACATAGTTATAAAACTGTTCAAGAGGCAGAAAAATATGAATGCTTCCTGATGAATAATCAGCCCTGTTTTCAGTTTATTCAAAAATAACAGTTGTGGTTACTGATGTGAAAGAGGTGACTAGTTCTTTGACGGCTTGTTCTTGGGACCGTGGGAAAATGACATGAGGCTATTTGGCTTAAAGGACGTAGTCATGCACAACCGTTGGCATGCTTGTTGGGGAAGCTGGAGTGTTTGAAGGAATAAGGAAGGTGTGAATCATCACCATTCTTCAAAGAGAAAGGTTTCCAGTTCTTTCAGGACTGTGGAAGGCCTCTATGCCATTGCACTTGAAATCTATGTGCAGGCACTGAAAGAGTACCAGAGATTATTAGAAATCACTTTCTACTATTAAGCAGTTTCACTCTTTTAAAAAAAATTAACCTCTCTCTCCCCACCTGATCTTTCCCCCTTTGACAATATTTTGAGAATAACTGTATTTGTGTAACTTCTCTGATATCATTCATTCTGCTGCAGTGGCATATAGAACTTTGAAATGTTACTTTTTGCATTACAACTCTCTGAATCTCTCAGCTTTCATGGCCTGGGGGATTCAAAGGGTGCTAGTCAAAAATGTAACTTCTTCATCCTTTGGGTGACAAATGCCTTGACCTGAATCTAGAATACTAGGTCTAGTGAATACTTATAGATTTCAGAGTTGTTCAATAGAGGTTTTGCTGATCTCAATTTTCACAATGTACATGTCTTTTGTCCTGCTATTTTTGTCCTACTAGTTGCCCCTCTGTTTTCATGGGGATCTGTTCCACATCTTTCTGCGAAAATGGAAACCTGTGCATATTCAAGCCTCATAGGCTTGAATGGAGGTGTGGGGGCATGCGGGGGGTGAGGTGCTGCAGGGGTGCACCCCATTGTATGCCCTTCTGTATGTCCCTTGCACATAAGCGAGGGATGCAGATCTGAAGACCGTTAAATTGGATGGGCTACTGTATTGTCTTTGGTTGAGCATGGCACTCTTGCTCTGTATGGTGTAAGATGAAGCAACTCAGAGAGCAAATTTTAATGTTGTAACCTGCCCCAATTGTTGTGCAGAGGGCCGGGCTATAAATAAAGATGATTATTATTATTATTATTATTATTATTATTATTATTATTATTATTATTATTATTATT